AAATTTAAATTGACCATTAAAAAATTTCTTGTTAAGAAAGCTCATTATAAAGTGTCTGATTATATTACAGACAAAAATGCTTGGGTTTGAACTGTTCCAACCATTCCAACGGGTTTCTATATGATAACATTATGAATCATGTGTTGACGATACTTCTATTGAAAAGCTGTATTTAAAGTTGATTACGTAAGGAAAAATATCAGACTATTTAAGAACATTTGAATGACAAAACGGCGTGGTCATGATTTCTCCATTATTTTTGCTTTGTAATTGTTTGCAGTGTCCTACAGATAAATGACTTTAATTTTAAGTAAATATGTTGTGGTTGATATAGGTGGTTCCCTAAAATATGGTTGAGCGAAGCGATGGCTGGTTAATGCGTCATGCTCGTGAACGGACGCTGCCAGCGGAGATGAGTCTGCCCTAACTACTTTCATATTTAAGATGTAAATGTTTAATTACACCTGTTATAAATAACTCTGTATTTATACTGTGTGACACAGCATAAATACAGAATGCAGATGAACAATTAATGTATAATTTCACATTATGTAATGAAAGGTGACTTCATGAATCATCTCTGAAGTCATGCTCGTGAACGGGCGCTGCCAGCGGAGATGAGTCTATAATATAGCAATTTATGAATTTACATGTCCTTTTTTTGTTTTTGATTATACGTACAAAAAAAATAAAATTCGATTGTTTTTCTTTCAATTTTAACACCGGGGGCTTGGGGGGGGGGGGGGGTTGCTCATCAGGCCACAGAGGCTCCGATAAGGCCCTATGAAATGTACTCGATACTTTGACGAGTACGATACTCTTTTACCGATACTACTCATGAGTACAGTATCGATACTTTCTATTCGATATCGTGTCCCTAGCCCCGTGGATCAGTAGGGGTTTCCGTATCCGTGCGTGCGTTCCGAACCTTCAAGCGCAACAGATCGGAGGAGAACTGGCATATTTTTAAATCTTCATGCAACAGGTGCAATGGAATGGTAAGAGCAGCTAAGCGACAATACTTTCACGATAATATTTCTAATTGTTCTTCAGCCAATATTTGGAAGTTTCTACGTACCCTTGGCTTGGGTACAAGCTCTTCTCAATCTCAGTCTCTTCCCTTCTCTCTTGATGAGTTCAATAACTATTTCTCTGTTTCTGCTTCCTTAAAACCTGCCACCAAATCTGAAACTATTGATCTAATAACTTCCATGGCTCAAACTCATTCTGAATCTTTTTTCTTCTCTCCAGTGTCAAATGATGAAATTATATATAGGAACGAGGATGTGAGTAGGGATATGATAATTAATATTCTTATAATCATAATCAAAATCATTTATTCAGTTTAGGCTGTTACAAGCACATATGAAAAGAAAATGGCTGTGATTTCTGACACTAAAAAAGTGTTCATTAATATTACATTCATAATTAAAATGTTAATTAAAAAGATCTAAATCTTAAACAATTTAAAAATATGAAACTTTTCAGATTTATTTCAAATTAAACTTACTTTTCTTGAATTTTAATCATTAAAAAACATTATACCCACTTATTTTAGTTAACGGCTGCCATTGGCATGCTTCACTCAAGATTATAATTATAGAAGAGGTTACGTCCGTCTTTTTTTCAGGTGGTTTCAAATAGGTATACACAGCACAGACAGAATAATAGTGTTACACTTGAATAAATCAAATACAGTCAAGCGAAAAGCACAATAAACGGCGAATCAATCACAGTTCCTAACAATATGGTCGCTAAATAAATAACTATGAAACAAAACAAAGCGCAAAATAAACACAGTCACAGATTAGAAAGAATTTGAATATGTCAGTTACTGACTTTATAACAACGCAATAGGGCATTTGACAGTATTAAAAATAAAGTGCCAAAATACCGAAAAAGATATTAGTTTTCTCATCTATTGTCACGTGACCCAAAACGCTTGGGATTGGCGGAGCCTAAAATGACGTCACGCGCAAGTAAACTTCCGGTCAAAGTGACATTACATTGTATCGTTTGACGTTTTATTAACAGTCGTGTGACGTCACACACTAGTAAGACGGCATATTGTCCAGAGAAACGTTTTCGCGGCAACTTGAAAATGGAGTTTTTGATTTGGTTATTTTCACTGAAATACACGACAGAATGATGAATATCCGCTTTTTACGGACTCCATAAACATTAGTCAATAACGTGAGATCGTTGCCTAAAACTTGTCAAATACCCTATGGAACGTTTTAGAAGGTTTACTATGATTTAACTAGATGGCGTTGCCATCAATATGAGGCGCTTATCCAAATTTTTAAAGGTATCGATACTTGCCAAAAAGTACTCATTTAGTAAAAGTATCGAATATAAACACGGAGCACCCCCACTAGAGTCCGCATACAAGGGCAAGCGCTTACGCCAAGCTTAGGTAGTATTTTACCTATGCGTGAGGCCCGCCTACAGACGTCGCGATACATCGTTTCATTCGGTAACCGAGCGTTGGTCGAACTGGTCTCTCGTTTTCGTGTTAAAAGACTGTAAAAAATGCCGTACTGTGCAATTAAATTGTGTGGAAAGTCGAGTACAACTTCCAGTCTTCAAAAAAATGGTATTACTTTTCACTGGTTAGTTTAAATGCATTACAAAAAGACAAAAATACTGTTATATTAAATTGCTGTTAATTGTATTTATTTTTTGGTGAACGCGTTGATGTCTTTTTACACTATCCCTTTCTCGCATGGGCTACATCATATATGCTATCTCGCTCTCACACCGGCACGTGTATTGCTAGTGACTCAGACGCAGCTCATGTCTCAACGCGTAAGTTTATCGATAAGTTTGTCAGCTGTGGAAATGGAAAAAATAAATAAAAACTATTTATTTCATCGTATACAATAATAGATGTCATAAGTATACAACTAACAGTTTTTATTTGACTTCAAACATATCCTAATAAAATTGAAAAAACGCGAAAATTTGTATGCATATTTGTTACTCTTTCACGCTAAAACGGTTAAACGGATTTGTATGAAATTAAGTGCGCATAGTTTATGACCTAGATAAAGACATAGGATTAACGATATTAAATACCATAGATATACCACGAGCGCTCAAAATGTGTCCCAATCAAGAAGTGCTTGAACTCCACTCAAGCACTTCTTAGTACACAGTCACACGCGGACCGTTGAAAAGTCAAGATGCCAAAGAGTTCCGTGAAAAAATGCAGAAAAATACTAATAGTACGTAAAGTGTCGTTTTTTCGACGGGTATCTAATTGATGTTTTTTAATTAACGCCTTTAAAGCAAATTTTATTGTTGTAATACTTACTATAAACTGTTTTAATTTAAAATATTTGTGATATTCAAATGCATGGTCGGTTATACGTCGCTCTTAGCCATCTCCTTTCTTCGCGATCTGTACCTGCTATATTGCTAACAGCGCATTCAGAATTGCGCGTGAAAAGTCAAAAAAAATAAGGTCTGTATTCTTTCACATATAACAATAAATCGTAAAATTTTACGAACTTGACGCATGCATTTTAATTAAGACCTTATGCCGTATGCATTAAAGGTGACTTTCAATGTTTAAATAAGGCATTATATTGTTTTTGACCACGCGATCATCTTACGGACCTCCGTGGATCGTCCAATGTACCTTTTGAACACGTTTCGGCCACGATTTTGTTCGTTTTGTTGTATCTAGGGTAGTTAATAACGTTGCATTAATACTTCTTGTCCTGGACGTGTTTTTTTTTGTGTAGCTTATATATGATTTAGTATGTAGTTACTAGTCGCGTCATGTAATTAGAACGCTGGAAGAAAGTGGAGAGGGTATGATTACGCATTTGCGCACCAAAGTACTAGGCCTCTATTCTAAATTGCTTATCGATAGAAAATATCGATATTTTCTAAAATCGATCTTACCCTCATCACTTCGCTGCACTGAGTATATGATCTGACCTTGACGCGTCCAATCACAGCGGGGCTGACCTCCCTGCACCCCACCGACTTTGGCGATTTTGATTCCAAACAAAATTTGTGTGATGCGGACTCTAGTGGGGGTGTTCCATGAATATAAAGTATCAAGTACAAAAATATCGATACTTTTTTCGTGTCCCTACACGGGGCAGGTGGTCGCCTAACTCTAACCGCCTTCATTGGGGCATGCATGAGTATCGTACAGTTGTAGTAAATATTTATTAATGTGAGAGATTTTCTCATCAACTGACGACGACTGCATGACACAAGAAAAGTCGAGCCCAGCGGCATCCTGCCTCAACCTGTCAAGATCAAGCCGAGAAAGATTACGCATTCAGACCAGAGAGGGTTTCGGCTTAGGGGGTTTCAATTTATATTTCAAGAAGATAAGGCGATGTTTAGAGAAACCTGGGGCTGGTAATTGTCCATGACAAATCACATCTTCAGAGGAGGTAATTATTAAATCAAGCCAAGTATCATCAGAAGAGGGATTGTAGTGAGTTGGCTCGGAAGGCAGAATAGATAGATTAATGGACTTGACAATATGTGGCGTATTACCCATGAGATCGGTGTTAAAGTCACCCATGATTATGAGATACTGTAATCTGTGCAAAGAGGTTTGAGGATAGATTCAAGTTCAGAGACGTAATCTATATCTATAGACTACCTAGGACAGTACACAACTGCAAGTACAGCTTTCTATTTCATAGGTATATAAATTATATTAATTATTTTATACCCTTAACATTTAGGGGGATGAAAAAAGATGTTGTCCGATTGTCAGACCTACTGAATATGCATATAAAATTTGACGAAAATCGGTCGAGCCGTTTCAGAGTAGTTCAATTACGCACATCGCGACACCAGAATTTTATATATTAGATTACCATGTACATATTTTTACAAATAAATATTATTATTATTTCGATGATAAACGATTCTGGGTACAAATATACCGATTTTATTTATGTGGACAGCTCTACTGATTTCGCACAATGAATGACGTTCGATCAAACCACGCTGAGTGCTGTAATCTGTGGTTGGCTGGCATGGCAAAGAAAGAAATCTGTTTTTTCGCAAAAAAAGTTTTATTGCAAAGTTTATAAATAATACCCACTTGTTATTGCTTCATAAAATTTTAAAGAAAAAAAAAAAACAATAAATTGATTGGACAATAAACGCCTCAATATTAAACAAATAAATATTTCGATATAACTAGTTCTATCATTGTTTCTGAGAAGGTAAGTGATTGTTCATTAACTTCATTACTACTACCAGGTTTAACCACATTTGTTGAAACCGGACCTTTTTTTAGTACTTTTAAATTAGTGTAAGTAATTAATTTAAAATGGCTATTTCCTATACCTATTTCAAGGTTTGACAGTCTTGCAACTTAAGAGTGTGTATACACGTGTGGCATTATATTTTTTACAATCACTAAACCTCTATCGCTAAATCTAACACGTAGGTACACACCACATCTGTGTATTTACCTAATAATCGTCTGTGCCTGTTTTACTATTTTCTTAAACTGTGATTTATCTTCTATATTATTTAATAAAGATAGATCTAGTATTCTTTTAAAGTTGTTTTCTAAAGTGAGTTAATACTATATTAGATAGGTAAAATAATTGCTTGATCATGGTGAAAGTACCAGTCTTCTTTTTTGTTACATTTATTAATAAACCTAAATTATAAATAAACTTAAGTAAGTTAAAAGACTATTGAAAGAAAATAATTGTAATATTATTAGAAATTCTCTATAGAAGTTAATGTTAAGATTATTTTAAGCTTGATGAAGCTGCAATGATAGAAGCTATTACATTCTCTATAGCCAATGGCTAGAAGGCCTGGTATTTGTAATAGTATTGTTATTAAAATTATTTGTGCCTATCCTAACCTGCTACCACTAAATATATGTCTAATTCTAAATATATATTATAATTTTTGTAAGCATGTAACTGCTTGATGTTTAATTTTTTTTTATTTATTTATTTGTATTTAGGTATCGTAGGCCCATAGAAATATATACCTTATAGTCTAACATAGATGTGAAAAAATAATGACAAATTCTAAATAACACAATGCATTCACCCGGATAGCAAAGGGTGCTGGTTCGAGTCCCATCTGCGGCCTGGTGTGCTTGGAATTTTTTCTAGTAAAATTTCCTTTACAATACTTATCATTGGGGCCGTTCAAGTATTACGTAAGCAGATTTATTACAATTATTTACCCCCTCCTCCCCCTTGTCAGCAAAATTAAGCAAAGCTCTTACCCCTCCCCCTCATGCTTACGTAAACATTGGTACCTATATGCATTTTTCCTTTAATGCATTCTGTTTTTTTATTGATTCATAAGTTTTCATGAGCTTCATGAGCAGTAGTACTAAAATAGGCTTAGTCCATGATGCTGACGTAATCACCATCTCGACCCCCTGCCCCCCTATAGTGCTTACGTAATACATGAACAGCCCCATTTCATAAATCTTAGCTCTTTTCTATAAAGTTCCCAAGTAGAACCCAACTACAGCCCCATCTGCTGGGTCCAGTTGCAAATCTAAACCATCCAAAGACTTGTTGAATGCACACATAAAATTAAATTAGTCAGTCCAGCTGTTTAGAAGAGGAATTGAGATAAAATCCTAGAACCCGATTACAGCACCACTGGTCTGCTGATCAGATCTGATTGTCAATCTAAACCACCCACTTGAATGCACACACAGTATCTCTTTGAAATTGTTTATCTGATTTTGAGTTTAATGGAAACAAAGGCACAGTTAATTTGATTTTTATATGTATATGCAATATAGAATAGTAAAGTCTTATCAGATAAAATATTGGTGATTAAATTTTCCCAACATATTGTTTATGTTGTTGATATGAATTATGCAATTTCTTGACAGAATAATGGCTCGTGGACAACAGAAGATTCAATCACAAGCCAAAGCAGCTGAAAAACAATCAAAAATAAAGAAACAACAAGGGCATAGCGCTACTGACCAAAAGAAAGCTGCACAAAAAGCACTTGTACACGTGTGCGTCGTATGCAAGGTAATTCCATCGATGCTTCAGAATAAATTATATTAATATGGTGGACTAGGAACCAGTCATATTGCTTCTAGATGACAAAGTAAATTCACATGAGACCTATTTTTATTATACTTAATCTCTGTGTACATGTGTTGTCCCTAACCAATCAGTTTAACTATCCCACCGGTATACTCACTTTACCTTAGCAGCATGTATAATTGCTTTTTCCCCACTGCTTTTGAGGTACTTTGAGTTGTGGGAAAAGAAATCTAGAATATTTGCCTCTGCAGGCCAGTGGCAAAGCAGCAGTGGCAATGACACTAGATCAGGGGTGCTCAAACGGTCAATTGCGATCGACCTACCAATATCTATATATGCTACGGTACACCCTACCTAGGTAGGTAGGTAAGTGGGATTTATCGTGTATGTACGACAACCCTGCATCACACATACTTGCAGCCTCTCGATCGAGTCAATCGTAAATAGTCTAAAAATTTTGAGGTAGATCGCCAGCAGTTCAAGCACCCCTGCACTAGATTATAGCGTAATTGTTGATGCTCAATGTTGTTAGTTACCTTAGGCCTAAGCACGAATTCTTGACAGCTCTGTGTAGTACCGTATGCGTTTTTATCGATTTTTTTTTATGGAAAAAGCCATTGTGTTCTTTCGACTGATACTTAGTTTTCATAGAAACTGCTTGGGCCTCTGTGCTGTGTATTGGACCGCTACATCCAATCTTGTACTACTAGCACTAATGTACGCGATGTCCGTACTTTGCTTTTGAGCTACAAGGCACACGGCTATTAAGGTCTCGGTAGCATAATTGTTTAGTGCGTCCACCCACACCGAATAATGGAAGGTGCAGGTTCGAATCCAGTCAGAAGTCTGAACATTTACTAGAAAAAAAATCCACGCGGGCCAGGTAGCAGACAGGACTCGAACCCCCACCCTTCGCTATCCGGGCGAATACACTGACCCTTATGCTACCGCGGCCCTGACGGCCGTCTCGAATTTTCTCTAGCCTTAGGCTGCAAAGCAGTGCCATCTCTTCGCCTTGTAGGTAACCCACAATAGTAAAATTTTCTTTATAATTATAAATCTAGCAGTCCAATGCTTCAGTTTTTGACGTGACAACGTCTTAAATTAGGTTGCGGCTGGGAGTCACTTATGAAAAAGTGTAACGCTCGGTAACGTTACGATGAGTCTCTCGTGTTAAGTTTAAGTTTACATGTACAATGTTTTAGTAAACAAAATATATTTCTATAGTTAAAATTTGTGCAATTCTTATTTTCATTCAATTCCTTGTTCCTATTGTGCAATTTAATTATATTCATATCAATAAATATTCTACCGAGAAAAAGACGTTGTCACGTAAAATCTTCGCCCGTAAAACCGACTTTACAGGCAACCATTTTTTTAAATATATAGTTTTATGGACATTTGTACATTTTCATGTCATTCATTGCACTTTTAATTGATAACCCATTATGTATGGTGTATCTAGTCTATCAAATATTTTACATGAGTTGTACATATTTATATAGTTATATAATTCTATTACAGGCACAAATGCCAGACCCGAAGACCTACAAACAACATTTTGAGAACAAACATCCCAAGAATGATTTACCTGACGATCTCAAGTCCATCTAACACATGTGTTTTAAATACTTCATTATTTCTATTACTTTTTTAAATTATTGCACTCACTGCGTGAACTGCATTTCAATAAAACTAATTAATTAAGGAAAAAAGAGACTTTTTTAAATATTTGTAATAAAAAAATAGTTACACATATATTTTTATTATTTAGCTAGTTCTTTTAATATAGTATACATGTAGCTATATAACATTTTATTATCCATTAATGTCTGCAGCTGCATAATGAATCACAGAAAAAGGTACAAAATAGCCAATGAATTCAATAACACTGAAATAAACAACAGCGTCTTTACTGTTCATCATAAAATATTATATTTTATTCATAATGGTCGTTACTTGAATTCACCGCGATTTGTGGTTCACGAAGTGAGTTTTGGACTGGACAACTGTACATTTACTTTTTGACAATACCCAAATGCATTTTCCTCTAATTATATATTTTTTTTACATATACGTTTTGATTTCACAACATATGCACCTAACCCCTTGTTTACACCAAGAAACAAGTCATGTACTAGTTTTAAACAAAACTTGTGGAACACATCATGTTGTGGCTGTTTGAAACATTCTTTTGTTTACACTGCATAGACAACTAGCATCTTAGGGTGTATTCCGAATCAAACACCAGTACGCTGGCCAGTGGTAATGACGTCATGATTTCGACGCCATATTGACAACACTACTACTACACCAGTGCAATATGGCGTCGAAATCATGACGTCATTACCGTTGGCCAGCGTACTGGTTTATATTTCGGAATACACCCTAAATCACTTGTTTACTTCACATATTTTGTTTATCCAACAAGTGTTTCATCAACATCATGATGGAGATATTGTATAAAATTTGTTAAACAAGTAAACGAGGGGTGATGCATCTGTGTATTCGATTTAATCAAGCAAAATCTAAACGTATTATTGTAACCCGTCAATTAGTTCGTACCGCTGTTGCAGCAATGAAACCTAAAAAACCCTTAATGTTATTATGTACTAATAACTTGCTGTGCCCGCGACTTCGATCGCGTGGATGTCGGAAAACGGTTACCTATTGTTGTGTCGCGTAGGCCAGGGGTTTATTTAATAAACGTGACGATGGCGACTGACTTTCTTTGCTCTTGAAAGTCTACCAACATGGAAATGTAAATATGTTTTTTAATTTTGTCTATTAAACGTGACGACAAATATTTAATTAGGTACCACCAAATTGTCATGACAAGCACGTGGGCCAAGAATTGACAAAACAAAAGTGTGGGTATTTCAATACACATATTATCTCAAAATCAGCAAGTTACAATTGTCGTGTTTTTATGGCCGTACAATATGATACTTTATAAACGTGAGATAGGATAGGATGTAGCTGATTTTAAGTAAGGATCCTGCACCTTTCATTGCCTGGAATGATGATGAGGATGCCAGCAAAAGTTTCGTGCCTTTTATGTCAAAATTTAAACATCAAGAGTGAAAACTTATACTCTGAGCGTGGGTTTGGGACGGAGCCCCCGCTAGCGAGTCAAAAAAATGTCTAATGAAACAATATCCTGCCCCCCGACCCGCGCGGGGTTGTGCAAGTGTTTTCCATCGGGATCGGAAGGCAAAAAAAAATGATGCAAACAAAATATGTGTAGTGAAACAAAGTTTTGTGTAGAATTTTTGTTCAATTTAGATATGTTTTTTTTTTCATTGTGTAGGGCAAAACTCGCGCTGGAAACCCGGCTTAACTGTAAATAATTGACGATTTGCCTCGTTTATCAAATAAAGCCCTGGCATAGTAAGAAAATAAAAACAACCGAAATTTACAATAAAGGACGCTACATACAAAACTAGTTATTATTAATGTTGCTAACATTAGACAGAAATAATATTTGAAACCCACCAAACAAAGAAATGGTCCGAACCGAAACCAAATTAACTGAGTATTTTACGACACTCGCCCACAAGCACTATTCTCTAATTTTATATCGAAACAGGACAATCACTCAACCTCAACAAGCCAAGAAGAGAGGCCACGACCACGACCTGGAGGACGACAAAATTCCCCTAACTTAACCTATTACAACATACTCATTCGTAAGATATTGTCAAGGTTTTACTGGGTACCATTATTTTAGGATATCAAGTTATAGAAGCCTGGGTAGTTAAATAGAACAAAATTAAAGATAAAGCGTGCATCAATACAAATATATCATAAATTCTTCCTCGTGTTAACAGCTGCGTTTGGTTTGTATCGCCTATATTTTAAAAATAATATTCTGTGCTTTATTGACGTAGGTACCAAACTTTTCTTTATGGTTTGCGAATATTGACAATACAGATCTGCCGTAATTGTCTGGCCAGATCTTAGGAGAGCTGTAGTGGATGACACCAGCACTGTCCACCGAAAGTGAAGTAATCACTTGGGGCAGTGCTAATTGAAAATCGTCTATTGTGACGTCCTCTCACCCGTCATCCTATTAGTGATTGTCGAAACTGTAACATATAGGTACGTAGGTGTATGTTTTAAATCAACTGTTGAGTAATTTACCGAGTGCGTGATTCAATGTGGAAGAAAAGTAACAATATACGCCGACAGAGGCGCTGACATCGTTTGGCCCAGACTAATAGGGTTTTGACAGTATAAATAATGTACCAATTGCCGGCATCTGTATTTAATATGTATGTTAGCAGCGATTTAACTTTTCTAAAAAATCATTATATAGATTTTTTTTCTTTGTTCTATGGTCACGTGATCGAAAACGCCTGGGATTGGAGAAGACTAAAATGACGCCACACACTAGTAAACTGCTGGTCAAGTGAAATTACATTGTATCGTTTGACGTTTTAATGACAGTCGTGAGACGCTGTAATGTCCATAGAAACGTTTTTGCGGCAACTTCAAAACTAAATTTTTAATTTTTTCTCAAATTCATCACTCAAATTTTTTTTTATCTCAGAATGCTGCGTTGATTGTTAATTTGGTGTAATAAAAAAATCACCACTTCTTTCTCATGGGTGGGCAGCAGTGGCTTGGCGTGGGTGTCCCCCCCCCCCCCCCCCCCCCGGGTGAAGGGCAATTTTGCCGCCCTCTTATTTAAATAATTGAAATATTTTTATTATTTAATGTAAAATTTTGCCGCCCCCACTACGCTACGCCACTGGTGGGCAGCTAATAAATCGGTTAAACTGTACTTTCAGGGCCCAAGAATTGACACTTTCGCGGAATTCTCTAAAACATTCCCCTCAAATAATATGAGTTGGAAGCTTATATGACCTACAGGTACAAGTCAAATGCCTACCTTGATTTATATATGCGCAAAATAGAAAGTAGTCAGGCAGGTCGTGTACCACTATGATACATCATAATTACCCTTAGATTAAAAAAATAAAAATGAAGATACGGCACTCGCGGCTCAAGTGATCCGCTTAAATTGTGGTGCATGACCATAATTCGCTGTAGTCACAATTGGGCATTCAAACACGCTGCATGTGCACTCATGACTCAATATAACAATATTGCGTATATTTTGTGCTAAGTATAAAGGTAAAACAATGCCTTCGATGCTTTTATAAAGAACACAAATAGTTAAATCTCAAATAACATATGTCTCGGCGACACTTACATTCGTAAAACTGTAAAAACATTTTTTCTCATAAATCACGTTTTGTTGTGAATTTTATACTTATACGTAATCGCCATTTTGTTATCAAGAAAAGGACAACAATACAGCTCAGCCGTACGAACTCCAAAGCGGATTCGCCGTTTCGCTCGCGCTGCGTTCTCACTCTCTCGATTGAATATTCATATAACAGACGTCGAGTTCCTCTACTCTCTACGGGAGGAGCTCGATGGCGCAAGTGGTTAGCGCGTTCAGCTGCGATCGTTGAACTTAAGCAACTTTCGCAGTGGTCGGTCATTGGATGGGTGACCAAAAATTACTATCTCGAGCTCCTCCGTGCTTCGGAAGGCACGTTAAGCCGTTGGTCCCGGCTACATCTGCAGTCGTTAGCACCCACCAATCCGCTCTGGGCCCTCGTGGTGGGTCATGGCTCAATCTCCCTATTGCATCCATAGGGAAGGCCTGTGCCCCAGCAGTGAGGACATTAATAGGCTGATGATGATGATAACAGACGTATGCGTGTGAGAGTTGCTTATGTAGTTGAGTCGGATCATATTTTAATTGATGCTAGTATGATCGTACCGTATCTACACTTTTTGTTTTTATCAAAGTAATTGCCTAAACTTTGATATAAGATTTTGATAAGACATTGCTCTCTAACTTATAATAAATCTGTAGAGATGTCAATTCTGTACATGAAATATATTTTCAAAATAACTATCAGGGGGTGATTAGTGATCGATACTGATGCCAAAAATGCAATCAGTAAATTTTTTGTCTGTCTGTCTGTCTGTGTGTATGTTCCTTATAGAAACAAAAACTACTCGACGGATTTTAACGAAACTTGGTACAATTATTCTTCATACTCCTGGGCAGGTTATAGTATACTTTTCATCACGCTACAATCAATAGCAGCAGAGTAGTGAAGGGAAATGTTGGGAAAACGGGAGAAGTTACTCCATTTTTTAAGCTTCCGTCGCGGGTGCAGCCTTAATGGTTAAAGTTACATAGAAATCATGTATGACGGAAATATTCTACATAAAATTGTATAAAAAAATATCCTGCAACAGCATATGCAGAGATGTGATTTATTTGAAATACTTCTATTTTAAATGCAAATAGAAAATGCAAAATACCTATTTAATTATATTTTGTATTTAAATACCTTTCAGTGAAAAGTATTTTGTATTTTATTTGAAATGCCTTTCGAGATGCATTTTGTATTTTTAATATTAATTTCAAAATGCAAAATACTTTGTGATTAAGTTTAGCCAACATTACCAGTCAAACAAAACAAAACGCTTGTATTGCCGAATTCGACCGATAGAGGCGCCTGCTAACCATGCGCGACATTTTTTTCTTCTTTGGTGAAAGTGCGCGCCTTATGTCGAGTAATGTCTGCCAAGTGTCAATTTCCAACGAAAACGGCGAACATTATCTATGGCTAACATTATTTATGGATATGAAACGCATAGCCGTTGACACAGACGATTTGATTTCACGACGAGTTTATTATTTTCTGGTGCTAGTGAAGTAGTTACTGATTTGATTACCTACTTTTCTGATATTGAAGTGTTGTTATTATTTCTATAATACTAAAACGGTTATGCACTATACCTGGAACGGTTACGTACTACAAGATAATTTAGATAATCTAAATAGACGTGACTTGGTGGATTTGGCTGGTGTCTAACAATTTCTACTTAGCAAAAAAATGTAAGTACTCACTGAAATACAAATAAAATGCATACTAAAAAGAAAAGACGTCGACTAACTTAAAATGATTTTAAGTTTTATACCTATTACAATAAACTGCCAATAAAAATACTATAATAACTGAACTTAGTGTTAATATCTACTGTACAAACTAAGCCCAATTTCATTAGTTGAAAGGTTGCTATGATCATAAAGTATGGTTTGTGTCAACATGTCACCATCATAATGAATGTAAAACCAGTAAAGCTTATGAATAGTGGCTACTGGCTATAGTTAGATTAAATAAATAATGCGTTTTTGATTTTATTTCAGGGATAACCCTAATCTACCATTTATATTAAGGCACTGTTTTAAAGACGTGAAGAAAGAGGCTGATCATGAAAGTAATATAAGTGCTGTTTGTAAGATATGTTCTAAAACACTGTTGTTGCGTGCAGACTTCCACGCAACAACAAACTTCTTAAATCATATTAAAGTAAGTATTTATTACCTATGAAAATTTGTTTTTGTATGATATGATATGTACATAGCTATAGGATACCTATTAGTTTTTTAACAATAGGTAATTATGTAATTTTTCTTTGTTTTTAAATAATTAACCTGGTTGATATTTTTTTTTAGAGAAAAGGCCATGATAATCTTCTGAAAGAGTATGAACAATTGAAATCCCAGCATACAAAGAAAAGAAAGTGCAGTGTTGCAGATTCTGATAACATTAGTACCGCGAGTATATCAAAAAAACTGAAGCAAAGTATTCTTTCAAATTCTCTACAAAAGTCAGTAAACCTGGATAAATTAATAGTAAACTTTGTTGTTGACACAATGTCCCCTATGTCTATAGTAGAAAATAAATCATTTAGTGCTTTAATTGAAGGAGCTCAACAACTTACACGTCCACCAAAATTGATGTGCCGCCGCACATGCAATAATAAAATTGCTGATGCATACACAGAATATAAAGGTAATCTAAAAAATAAATTGAAGGCTGCTCAATATGTCTGTACCACAGCAGATATTTGGTCATCTTCAAGACGCAGTTACTTAGGTATGACTGTTCATTGGATAGATTCAGACACATTTGCAAGAAATAGTTCTGCTCTTGCCTGCAGAAGATTCAAGGGTACCCATTCATTTGATAAGATAGCAGAACTTATCATTGAAATACATGAAGAATATGACTTAACATTGTCCAAAATAACTAAAACAGTAACGGATAATGGCTCCAATATGGTGAAAGCTTTTAAAATATTTGGGAAACTTGATTTAGAAACTGATACATGTAGTGGACCCCTGATGAATGTTGATTTAGAAAATTTAGAAGTAAATTTAAATGAAAACCCTTACAATAACAATCAGCAAGATGATGATGATAATGATTATATATTAGCCCTGAATGAGTTTCCTGAACCTCAAGAAAATGATTTATATCAACTACCCAACCATGAGAGATGTGCAACCCATACTTTACATCTGATTCCTGCACGGGACTTTGATAAAGACAGACACAAAAATAATTCATACCGGAAACTACATGATGCAGCTATGGCTAAATGTCAGGTTGTCTGGAATTTATGCTCTAGGTCACCGAAAGCATCTGAAATTTACTTGGAAGTTACTGGTAAGTCTCCAACTAGCCCCTGCCCAACTCGGTGGAATTCATATTACAATTGTATAACAGATATTTTACAAATTCAAGAAACCATAAATGAAGCTCTTAAGAGAATTGGGATTATCAGTACTAAAAGAAATTGAAATACAGTTCTTGGTTGAAAATGTTAGAACTTCCAAACCCATAGCTGAGGCCATCAGGAGCTTGGAAGGTGACAAAGAGATATAATATGGATGTCTACAACCTGAATTGATAAGAATGCAATAAATATTAGCTTCATTAGAAATGGACAACCCAGTTTATTGCGGACCGTTAATTGAAATAATAAAGGAAAGTATTCAAAATCGTTTCGAAAAATTTGATTTAGATAACCCAAGATCCAAGGACAGCATTCTGGCAGCTATATCGTATCTATTTTTCAAATTAAAGTGGGTGCCTAAAAATAAGAAGGAGCATCTTAGGGAGCTGTTTATCCAAGAAGTCAGGAAATTTAAAAATCAAAATTTAAAAAGCTGCCTCCTATCACAGACATCGGAAAGAAAAAGAGAAAAAAGCGAGTCTTATTACATGTTCCAGGATTCAGATTCCTCGGCAACCAGTGAGGGTGGTAGTGCTAATAATACTACAATAGATCTGGAAACCCTGCAATATTTAAAGGATGAAAGCACAAATCTGGAGATGCTAAATGGTTATCCTACAGTAAAAAAAGTATTTTTTAAATACAACACATCCTTACCAAGTTCAGCACCAGTAGAAAGACTTTATTCGTATGGTGGGATGATAATGAGACCTCACAGAAGAAAAATGAGTGATGATGTATTCGAACAACTGGTATTGTTAAAAAGCGTAATAAATAAACAATGATATTTATTTTTATCACTTTTTAACAATACCAGTCCAGTTCCAGTTGTTTAGTTTTAATAAGAAAAGTGTAATCATATGTAATATGTTATTAGACGTTTGTTTTTCGGCTCGGCATTGTGTGTCTCTATTGCTCATGTATGATAAGTAAATATGTACCTATAATAAATAAAAATATCTGTGATTTGGTCAGGGGGTATTTTATTTTGAAAAAGTATTTTGAAAATACCTATTTTGCATTTAGCATTTGAAATACAAAACGCAAAACTATTTAGTATTTTGCATTTGAAATAGTAAATCTGAAAAGTATTTTGCATTTTGTATTTAAATGCTTTTTCAAAACCATTTTGTACATCTCTGAGCATATGTCTATCTTTTATGGTTGACTCACAATAACATGTAATTATATAAATAAAGTCATTCTTTATAGCACAAGCCTGAGAACAAAAACTATAGTTTACACTACAGCTCTACACCGAAGCGAAGCGAGGGCGGGCCACTAGTTAGCAAATAAATCCCTAGAAAACATAACGTGTGCGTTTTCTGAGTTGCTTGACTATTAAGTGGATTGACAAAATTGGAGCCTAATGGCGTCACATACATTCAAGTATAGGTACTTAGCTATATAGTTTTATTAACGTTTTGGAGGAATTATTTTTCTTTCTTCTAATAGACGTTAATGGATACTAAACTTGCGTAAGTATACTGTTACCTGTGTGGCTGTCACGAGATAGAAGCTATCTACTGTCCAATGCACGGAAAAAACAGAATGGATCTACACTATCGGCCCAACTAGAATAGGGATGATGACGGGGTACAGTAAACGAAATTCTATTTAGTCCGTCAGTTAGATGATCAAAAAATAATGGACACGTATTTTTTCTTTGGACAATCAACCAAAAAATGACAAAGTTATAGCGCGTCAAAGTTTGGGAGTAGGGGCTCGTGACGTCACTTTTGAGTGAATTTTCACTTATAAGTGTACTCAAACGTGACGTCATGCGACTTTTCAAATCAATATATCTCTGCAATGTTTATATTATGTGAAAAAAGAAAAAATAAGTGTTCAATACTTTTTGATAATCTACCTGATAAACGAAGAAAAAAAAATAGTCATCATCCCTATTTCGACGTCAGGATTTGACAGACCCTAGCTAAAAATAAATGTTACATTGAGCAAAAAGAATTTACGCCGTTTTTTATTATTATAATAAGTACTTTACACATATAAAGTAATAATTAATCTTTTTGCTTCAACCTAATATAATTTATAAGCATTTTTGCTACAGATCTCCGATATATACCGTTAGATGTATCTCGAAGTACAGTTAGGGACCACAGAGGTTACAAAATAAATGCATTATGTATCTTGTTATTTGGTATTTATTAGTTCGTCTTTTAAATTATAAAACAACTTAAAATCGACATTATAAATTGCGAAATTTAATTCTGATCGAGATTCCGATAGATTGATGTAGCATTTATTATCAATTTAGTAAGTGTGATAGATACTTTATTGGAGAAACACACATGATGATTAGATGAAAGGGTTTCACTGTGCCATTCTACATGCAAGGCGCAGCGCAGCATATCTTACCGCATCGTGCGTACTCGGCTCTAGGTTCCAACTTATTTCATGGAATCTTGAATTATTTCGGGATACAAAATAAATGCGACAAACATGATTCGAGGATAAAGACACAGTCATCGATACCGATCGACGGTTCGGTTCGGACATACAGAAGGGCACGAGAGTATGGGAAGTCGGCGTCGATGTGACGCGCTTCAAAAATACAGTCATCGGAACAGAGTCTCTACGCCGCGCCGTTCCGACCGATTCGGTACTATTCGAAAAGTGATAAAATTTGTCGTCCGGGACGATTCGGTCGCGGCTAGCCTCCCGGGAGCGGTCGATCGATCGACGCGACGAGTTCTACTATATTACTTTCGATCGGCAACGTAGCGACCGGCCTACGATCGGGGCTGAGCGCGAGCGCGGTTACATCTTCTCATAGGTTTCGGTGTGGTCGCACGTGAGGCAGGCGCGCGTGTAGAGGTCGTCGTCCCGCCGCTCGGGGCCCCACTGGTGGGTGTGGTGGGTCGCGCCGCGCTCGTACAGGCTGGAGCGCACGTCCATGCGCAGGGCCCGCAGCCGGCGCTGGACGCCCTTGTGGCGCGTGCGGGCCCGCGCCTCCACGCGGCGCGCCCGCTCCGCGTCGAGCGCGGCGCGCGAGCCCCACACGGCCAGCGCGCGCTCCTCGAGCTGCGCGCGCAGGTAGAGGCGCATGTCGCCGCCGCCGCGGTGCGGGTTGCGGCGCCGCGAGCAGCGCAGCGGCGGCGGCCGCAGGTCCAGGTCGCAGTCCTTCAGCAGGAACTCGGCCTTCGCCTCGGTGCGCGTCATCAGCGCGTGCGCCTCCTCGTCGTCCCTGGACGTAAAGCGCGCGTCGATCCCGGGCGCGTATATAGATATGCTAGTTCGGTGCGTCCCCGTCGACCGAGCCGAACTGATTTAGCGTTTCCGAACGATAAACACGCGTGATTCCTGCTCCGATACGTCTCAGACGGCGATTTCTAAGTTAATACGCATTAAAATGTATCGGGAACCCTCATCTTATTCGTCGAGCTTACGTGACGTATTGGGGTAGGATTTCTAGTAGCTGAATCAACAAAATATTCTTAGAAAAGCTAACGCGATACGTCTCTCTATGCCGATATAGCTATCACACACAAAAAAAAAATAACCTACGTCTACCATAATGTGCATGCTAGTAGTTGTTGTCGTTGGAAAACCCATATTATCTACATATTTAAGTAATAGAAAAATACCATATTATTGACGACAGATTCGTGACAAGTGGGTTAGGTTAGGTTAGCGTTGTGACCGGCCACCTGATAGATAATTATTTTGTCATGCTACATACCTACTCTATCTTTACACCAGAAATCTATATTATTAGTTCTTAGCCATCCTTTAGTATCAGTCTCTCGTTGACAAACTGAATTAGGATGACCCCTACTTTGCAGCGCGTTTTATAACTCGAAATCCTACTGCAGCACATCACCGTCTGAGACGTATCGGAGCAGGTATTACGCGTGTTTATCGTTTGGAAACGCTAACTCAGTTCGGCTCAGCCGACGGGGACGTACCGAACTAGCATATCTATATACGCATCCCGGGCGGCTTCGGTCTCCGTCGCATCGGAGGCGGTGCGCCCGAGACGGACCTACCTACAGGCGTCGCATCGGAGGCGATGCGCCCGAGACGGACCTACCTACAGGCGTCGCATCGGAGGCGATGCGCCCGAGACGGACCTACCTACAGGCGTCGCAGACGCTCCAGTCGAACGTGTCGAAGAGGTAGGAGCAGGCGAAGGGGCGGCCGCAGAGCGTGCAGTGCGGCCGCTCGGAGGGGTCGAGCAGGGGGGCGGGGGGCGCGCGCGGGGGGGCCGCCGGGGCCGAGGGCTCCTCCTCCAGCAGGAAACCGCCCCCGGAGTCCCACTTTGCCGCTTCGGTCGGAACGGGCCTTATGGGATGACGACGAAATGTACGCATGTATGAATTTAATGTTTACAAAGAAAAAAAAATTGTGATGACATACGATGATTCACTTCAGCCCTTTAGCTATTTTTTTCCAATAAATGAACTAACCTAGATATTATGCAAAAATTAATATACATTAGCGATCCGACTCCTCAAATCACAATAGCTTACAAGTTTTGGCGTTGGACAAGGCGAGCATCTTGCAGGGCGCGTGCTTTTAGGCGATTTCGTTCGATGCGTGCTCGCTGCGTTGCTGTCAGTCCACCATTGTTGCCCTCTTTTGGTACGATTCCATTTGTAACAGCTTTTTCATCATCTTGTGAAGAGATACCACTGCCATAGTTTTCATGGTCATTATTGCAAACCTCATTCCTTTCCACTTCACTGGTCATTGTGGTCCGCTTACTACTATGGACAAAAAACAGAGCCATAATATCCATAAGTTGTGACAAATTTCAAATCATATTCATATAGCAGGATACCCGGTTACCACATTATATATCAAGTGCCTGATGAGATCTGCTAAAACCTCTGCCTTCCTTATAATTATTTGAGTGTTGGAAATCAAAAATTGGCCAGCTCAAGCTTTATGGTCACAACACTAACCTAACCTAACCTAGTGTGAAGTATCACCTCTTGGACCCAGTAAGTACAGTATATCCACTATTACAGGCACTGTCCATTTATGTGTTAGATATTAGACATTTGTGTATTAATATAATATGGATTAATGCGTGTTTCACTGCTACCCTCTTTTTCATGTTATTGTAATCTAATCATGTCATGTAGTTTAGAAGTTTGAAAAACTATTTTACTTACTTTGATGAGTATACGGTTATTCTTTGATAATCGAGTTTAATCTACAAATTTGAAAAAATGTATCGAAATTAATGTTACGGTGCTGATAGTACAGTACAATAGTACCTACCTACCAAAATATGTTGTACAATGTTTTTTATTATAAAAGTTTATTGCATAATGAAACTGAAATTATTTACTTCCTTTTGATTTATCTACTTCTTTTAATTTTCTATCACTCAGACAAAGATTACTTGCTCGGAGCTGAAAGTCAACAACACAACAACCAAAACAAAAACAACAATCACTTTTTTTTTTAAAGTTTCTTTACCCATTCTGGGTAGGCAAAGGGTACTGTGACCATACAGCCAATTCTTTAGTTTATTATTTCAAAGTGAAATATGTTGTAAATAATATATGCTGATAAGCTGTATAACAACAATCACTCCAAAAGTCACAGATTACTATTATGGTCCAAACAAACCACAGATTATTAGCCGCCAGTTCACTTGGCTATTCGCTTGTTTGTAAAAATTACACTAGTCTGTCCTTTTTATTTCTTATAAAGCATGATATGGACAGACTGTAAACTTTTATAATAAAACCACTGTCCAAAGTATTTTGGTAGGTAGGTACTATATATTTACTTACTGTACTATTAGTAGCAACTTACACACATTTCCATAATTTTCTTCAAGTTTGTAAACTGAGAGACTTAAAATCCAACCCACTATTGCCCGGTGGCCAACCGTAGTTTTTGAAGTGAAACTTCTTTAGGTACGCTTAACAATGATATTAAATACCCTAGATACACCACGAGCGCTCAAAATGTGTCCCCATCAAGAAGTGCTTGAACTCCACTCAAGCACTTCTTGGTTCACAGTCACGCGCGGACCGTTATAAAGTCAAGATGGCATAGAGCTCCGTGAAAAAAATCAAAAATAATACTTAGAGTACGAAAAGTCTCGTTTTTTCGACAGATATCTAATCAATATTTGTTAATTTAACGCATTTGTTCGGGTTGGAACTATTAAATGATAAACTGATATTGTAGTATAAAACTGTATATTTGGAGAAAGGACTAAAAATAACTATAAAATAATAATTGCTATGAGTACGCGTGACTTGATGAGTTGATGATTGCGAACTGATTTTGTGCAATAAAGTTAATTGTGAATAGGTAATTTAGGTCAACGAAATGTGCTGATGTGACGATGTACGCGCTTGCTCGTACATATTCCCGGGCGGGAAAAATGGAGGATAGTAGTTAGATGAAGGCGAAATAATAATATTGATAACAAGGTGATCTAATTTTTACTAAAGCTAAAATAAATCTATGTTAGTTTCCCGATGAATTAACAAGATGAAGGGCATAAAAATCGTTAAAAACTAAGATACTGTTTTATCGTCCGCAGTTACGAATACTGGTCGATGCACAATAGGGGACGACCCTACATCTTTCACTATCACTCGTTTACTCGCACTCGGTACGGTTGGCGGCGTACCTTTATTTTTCAAGGACACTCGCGCACAATTTTTGTTAAACTCACTTATCACACTATAATTATCACTGCACCGTGCACTGCTTGGGTTGGCCGGGCCGGCGGCGGCTGACGCCACCGGGGCCGGCGCAAGTGTGGGATGCGCGCGGGCAGCAGGCGCCGGCGCCGCCGCCTGCCCGGGAGCTGCCGCTGCTGCCGACGAGACGCGCGTCCTGACGTGTCTCCATACTAGAGCTACTGCTATGACTCCCACTATGGCGAACAAAACATATATCGCCACGTAGTGGTGGACGTCGTGGTAGGAAACCCCTTTCACCAGGGGTTGCTCTCGCTTCATGGTGTCTATGTCGCCTTGAATCTTTTGGAGCTGATAAGATCGGTCATCGATTTCTGCTTGGTTAATATCAGTGGAGGATATTGGTAAGGAAATGTTTAGTAAGTAGTTTAACTGAGAAAATTCCGGTAACGTTACATCTGCTTTAATTTCAATTTTTCTTGTTTGTTGTCTTTCAGAGTATGTAAAGAAATCAGCTGATTTTATAATGCATGCTTCATTAACGTTAAAAAATCCAGCGTGACTCAATTGTAGCGGCGTAACTTGATCGTCGCATATCAGTTTTAAGTGGCATTGTTGACAACACAAATACAAGGCTTTGTTATTGTTTTACATATATTTGTGTACGGGATAACTTCACAAAAATTGTGGTCATTCTTGATAATGTAAATAGGCCTCTTGAAGTGGCATAAGGTAGTAAATGGGTTTTTTGGTGTACACAATCTTAAGTCATCGTCTTCTAATTTCATATATGAATCTTGTTTGAGATTGACGGCAACGTAACTTGATACTGATTGAGTTACAGTTTCGGTTTGATTTTTCGTCGGGTGGGGTACCGGAATGAGATGTGAAATCTCGTAGGTTTCTTCAGAGATAAGGGGAATCTTTATCTCAAAGATGATAAAATTTGTTGTGGCTCTAGCTTGTACTCTTAGTAAGTTATAAATTTCGGCTAAGTTGTCAGTTTTCTTGATAGGTTCCGCCATGTCCTTAGGAAGTTGCTCTGTGATGACGGCTAATTCTTGCCTCAATTGGAGAGGTGTAAGTAAATGAAAATTGAACTTTCCATTATATATATTTGTGATAGCGTCAAGTAAAGTTTGTTGTATATTTTTTAAGCTGAAGATAACGTTATTTGCTATCATAGCAGTCGTGATAAATTCGTTGGCTAGTGAAATGTTTTGCATTTCCGTTTGTACAACGTTAACTGATTTTTCTACAGAGTTAATTTTTTGATTTATTAGTTTATGTTGCTTATCTATCATGGTTTCAGTGCGCTTTAACAGGTTAAATTCGGCTTCCAGCACCGAAGTTTGATTTTTCCAGAGGGAAGCCAAATGATTTTGATTCTCTCTGATGAGATGAATGTCTTGTTCGTACTTTTCAGCAAACTTTGCATCTAGTACACCAAACAGACTGTTAGCAAAATATCCGACCCCGTCGATTAGTCCACGTTTGGAGCGGCTGGGTAAGTTAGAATGATGATTCAGCAGCATATTATTATAGTACTCTAGTTCGGTGACTTCGTGTCGTAGTTGCAACATAAATATTCTCACAATGAGAGTGTTGTTTTATTTTTGTACATATATGTTGGAGGTAAGTAAGGTACATGTTGATCGCCGCAGTGCCGTCTTGATATGGCTGCGTATCATAATAGACAATTAGGCGCCACTCGTCGCGTATCAAGTTCATATTTGAAACGTGATCGAAGTAAATGCTATTATTACTTGGTAAAACTGTAGTTTGATAAAAACATTGTATAGGTGGAATGGCGAATAAAAATAATAACAATGTAGCAGCAACTGTCGATAAATTGCATTTTTTCTTTGTGGTTATTTTAGGGGTTGATTCTTGTTGGGGGTTTGTTGATTGATTATTTTTATCTTTGATAGGAACCTCTTTGTTTTCATGAACCGGTAAGATTGATAATTTTATTACGGGCCGTTTAGTTAACCCGTGTTTTGTTTTTAGCGTAACGACTCTTACGTAACCGTCACTACCGGGATGCAGCTCTACAACACGACCCATACTCCATTTACCCGGTGGCAAGTTGTCGTCCTTGATGACTACAACATCGTTCAACTTGATATTCTCTCGCGGTTGTCTCCACTTGCTTCTTGATGAAAGTTGGGTTAAATACTCGTCACGCCAACGCTTCCATATGTCACCGAAGATTTTTTGAGTAAGATACCATCTCGTTCGTAGGTCCTTTTCGGTGTCATAAAGAGTAAGTACAGGACCGCTGGCAAGAAAGTGAGATGGAGTTAAGAAATTAAGATCATCGGGATCTTCCGTAAGTGGGCAGAGTGGGCGGGAATTTAGGCACCCTTCCAACTGGCTGAGTAAGGTGGTAAACTCTTCGAATGTGAGACGTTGCTCACCAACAACTCTTTTTAAGTGGTGTTTCAAACTTTTGACTGCAGCCTCCCATAAGCCACCTGCTGAGGGCCATGAGGGCGCATTGAAATGCCACTCCAACCCCATGCTTGCTATCTCTGTCCAAAACGCTTGATCGTTGATATGTTGGAGTTGTTCTATTTCTTGTTTTAATAGATTGCGAGCTCCAATGAAATTTGTTCCTTGGTCGCTATACATGTGGGCGGGAACCCCTCTGCGGGCAGACATCCTTCGTAACGCTGCAAGAAAGGCAGAAGTACTAAGGTCTGAAACTAGCTCCAGGTGAACAGCTTTGGTAGACATACAGACGAATACCGCCACATATCCCTTCGTAGTCTTGATACCACGGCCCTTGTTGGCTTTTATATTCACGTGGCCAGTATAATCCACCCCACAGTGATAAAACGGGCGAGATGGGTTCGTTCTTGCTGCTGGTAAGTTGCCCATTATTTGTTGTTGACATCCTGGACTATTTTTCTTGCATATGACGCACAGCCGAAGACGTTTCTTAGTAGCATTGACACCTCCTAATATCCAATACCTTTTTCTGATGAAGGCAGTAGTTAATCGTGCACCTCCGTGGCATGTAACTTGATGCGCTTGATCAATAATAAGTTCGGCTAACCTAGAGTTAGGAATGATGATTGGATGTTTCA